AGAATCTAATGTAAGAAGAATCTTCTTTTTTCCCTCCACAATTATTTTTTTCTGGTGATAACAATCCTTATTGTATTCATTGTAGAAAATACAGAAAAGACAAAAAGGAAAATTAAAATTACCTATAATTCAATCATCCGAAGATAAACACCTAATAATTTTTCACTGTCTTTCCTACCAAATATTTTATGTACATGTATTTCCCCTCATACTTGAACACCATATTTCTGAGGTATAAGTGGATTTTTCCACTGATTGTATTGTAAGTACATCTTGATGTCCTCATTTTTTCCTCTACAGCATGGATTTTAAAATCTGTAAAACATCTAATCATATAAATGGATCATAATTTATGTAACCAGTCTCTCATTACATTTAGGATGACCTTAAAATGCAAAGCTCCATGTACACCTCTGATTATTTTCTTAGAATAATTTCTTAGAAGTAGTATTAGAGTCAAGGAATAAACCTTTTAAGGCTTTTGTTCAATAGCCTTTTTCTGACAAGTATATATTTTTAAAAAATACAATCCGAGGCCAGGAAGATATGAGTTTAGATACAACATAATTGGCGCTTGCTTCCTGTCCTCTGTAGCCAGTTCACCTCACTCATTTCATTATTTTTGCAATAACGTGACAATGCTTCCTAAGTGATTTTTACATCATATCAAAATGGCTGCTTAGGAGGAAAAAGGCTGGTGAGGCCTCTTTTATCGTCCAGGTTTTCCAGGACACACTGGTATGATACTCTGTTTGTTTGTTTGTTTGTTTAGGTCACATATCTCCAGTTATAGTGCCCAGGAAGCCATCACCTGCATGGGATTTTACCCCGTTAACCACAGGCCGCTTCTAGCACTGGGCTCTAACTACGGGGGCCCTGGGATAGGTTTACTGGACAAACTCATGGGCTGAAGACCTCACTCAAGTAGTTTAAAAAAAAAAAATTCATTGTTGTATTTTTCTGATCTTAAAATAGTAAAAGTAACACTTGTTCCTTAGAGAAATTGTAGAGAAGTATAAAAAAAGTAATTCTTTGGTCACATTTGGTGTTTTTTTTAATCACACATTTACATATATAATTATAATATAAACACACACATGTAATGTGTGTATATACACATATAAAATATATACATTTGAATATTTTGATATATAATGCAAACAAAGCAAAGAAGAGGGATGGAGACAGAAACATCTACAGGTCGTTTTCTTTTACTTTTGATTATATAATATCGGTTAAGTAATAAAT